CTAATTATCGAGCGTTTTCTATACCTTTCAGCTCTCTACGAACGCTCTAGGAGGGAGTATTATGGGACACGTTATCACTTTGTGCGTCATCGCATGCCTGCAGGCCAGGTTTGGGAGGTGCAGCCGTACAACTCTGTGTACAGCGACCGTACAAACAGTGGCCAATCATTAACCTCTGTTTGTTTGACCTAATCCGTCATCCTGATTATGATTAAGCTTCCTGCGTGTACACTTTGCTCAAAAGATACTTACTGAATAAAAGTGTTCCGTGCTGTACGTCCTTTTCCTTCATAGCTGGGCTTTGGATTAGCTGGTTCTCGGAGTTTAGCTAAAAGTAGAAGAATCTGCCACAGAGATTTCTGAGTCAGTCAGGTTTTACTAGCGTAGTAATCCGCTACAAACTATTTAAATATTATTGAAAATAGATTCCACATAAGCACTTCAAAATTAATGGCAAAAAAATTGACAACATCTGCCTTTTGATAGTTTTAATTAAAACCAAACTGCTTTTACCTCCTGCTTTGAAATAGATTACGAAAGGCATATGGTTGAGTAGATCACATGATATACAGGCATTACAAACGCGGGTTTATGTTTTATCTAAACAAATCAACTCGCACGAAAGCATTCTCTGGTACTTCCTGTATTAGCGCAAATATTCATCAACGATATAGTCGACATACATTTATTTGAAGTTTTAACTCACAGCCTACTGCGAAATGTACCTCTCGCGTTTGGAAGTCGGGCAGCCGCAACTGGAAGGGAAGTCTGGTTGTGAGTTTTCGTGTTTGTTTGATTACATTCCACCGATAATAATTCGTTCGAATTAATGCATTTTTGTAGATTTAATCTCATATAATAAATCATTTTCACTATTTAGATGATTTGTTACCGATATTAGTTGGTAACCTTTTGACTTTGCGTGAAATGTAACAACTGACAACAAATTTCATCACCACAAACATCTCTCGAAATGATGTGCAATTTTTACCTCAAAAGGTGGGCTCAAATTTGACTAATCCTAGATATGTCACTATATTTTTGAAAATAAGAATATTTTAAATTCGATGATTGGGTTTAAGTTCATAAAGTATGGGAATAGTGCGGTTTTCGATTATCTGTGGCGTTAGTTAAACAGAAATTTTTATTCATGAGATGACTGCTTGTTTATTTGCAATAAGCTAAATTCGGCTAATTGCATCAATACACAGATTAGAAGCCATATGCTCTCATGAGATTTTACTTCCATTTAATAGAGATCGCGGAGTTGTCTCTAGATGGTGGTCTCAGTCAAATGCTTTCGAGGAGGAAAATAGGACTCACCGACAAACTGACGATTCTTCCTTGACCATCTCTGCCGTCGATTATTTTATTGCCTCAAATGCAATTTTAGGTCCAAAGTCAGGCATGAGATTCGAATCCACTTCCAATCAGTTCATGAGGTGAATACGAATTCGGCAACTTCTTTCGGTAAACAAGTTTGCAATCCTATCGTTTCAAACAATTGATTAAAATGAAAGTACCGTTGAAATTTTGCAATCAGGTCTGTCCCTTAATTTCCATAGTTTGAAATTAATACCATATTAAATGTTGGAAATTTTGGTTATGACTTTTATTCATGCTAATTTGCTTGTCAAACGCTTGATTCCAATGAGATTTAAATTGAAAGCAAACTTTGACGAGAATTTAATAAATGTGATCTGAGTTGTAAAGTGCCATATTTGAATTGATTGGTGTACTTTGCTTTGCATATGATTGTTCTGAAATGTATTCAATAAAACGTGTCAATGTTCACGGTAATTTGGTGAGTTGGCTGAGCCAGATATCCGTCAATATTCAAGTTATATTTATCAAATTTCTTCATAATCCGATTTGTACCTCATTGGCATACTTATACCTTGGCTGAAGTTTTTACGCTTCAAAAGTACTGAAACGATGATTATTTATAGTTTTTAAAGTTCTATTTAGTATTTGAGAGATATCTGATACTAAATCAGAAACACGATTTTCATATGATTTGCCTATTTTATCTTTAATATATACCGTTATGACTAAAACAGCTACGAAAGACTGATAAGACGTTGAAAGATCTTGTTGATCACTTCTTTGTCGTAATTTTAGCTCTTCACTCCAAAATGGGCAAAATCCCTCGAAATAAATGCGGACATGCTAATGAGGTTGTAGACAACTTCGGAAAGTAGGTAAAGAAACCAAAAGTGAAAAAAAGCGTTTCAGTTGTGATGTTTGCAAAAAATACTTTAGTAATCAAAGCCAATTGGACGCTCACAAACTCAGACATAGTGGCGGAAAACTATTTGAGTGTGCCAATTGTGGAAATCAATTTTTTTACTAAATTTGAACTAAATGCTCACAAATTGGTTCCCAGTGATGACAAATCGTACAAATGTGAAGAATGCAAACAAGATATCAAGCGTAAACAATATTTGACTGTACATATGCGTTCCCATACGGGTGAAATACCGTACACATGTGGTGAATACAATAAAGGATTTACAGTTAAGTCAATTTTTAGAACACACATGCGTGTGCACACAGGTAAAAGGCCATACAGATGCAAAGTATGCGGAATGATGTTTAAGCAACAAGGCCACTTGAGAAAACACATGCGTTGCCATACGCGAGATGAATCATTCAAGTGCAGTGTATGTGGAAAGTGTGTTTCAAATATGCCTAATTGGGATTTCCACTAAGAGACGCATACTTCTGAAATTCAATAGAGTTTTGAAACTTATGAACTGGCATGCTTGGAACCTTTTTGTTAAATATAGCGTCAACAGCCCCATTCAGGAGAAATGTCATTCAAAAACGAAAATGGCAGAGGCAATATCTTCCAAAATCGAAATTTGGATGCCCTAAAATGGACACATGATAACAACGTTCTCTTTGAGTTAATAGAAATGTTCATTTTCCAATCATAAACAACAAGCTCTGATTATCTGCCATTGCGTTTCTGAAACAATGCCGATGCCTACTATTAGTCCAATCCTGTTCGTGAACGGTTTATATACTGGGAGTTCATACTGATTTCAGGAGACATTATAAGGCCTTTGAATAAATTTAAATAATGTTTGCAAAAGGAAAAATGGTAAGAGTTCAATAATTTTGTTAATTTTTATGTTAAAAGTATAATAACCGTAATATGTTAACCTAGAAGTATTTTTTAAATTCCCAATTAATGATAAAAAATGTTATCTGCATCATTAAATTAGTTTAAAATAAATCGTGCTTTCAGAACATGAGAATGTTTTTGACATATCAGGTTGGGAATATCACTTTAATTGTCAAGTTTAATTTAAAGTTGAACTTGATTTAAAGGTAAATAAAGACTAACTTAAGCAAGTAAAGCGCAATTTTTAATGCAACAAAATTAAGAATCTCAAAAAATGTTTTGATAACTAAATCTCAGAACTTCGATCTAATGAATTTTAATCGGGATGAATACTGATCATGAAATTTGTCAATCCCTTCATTTATACACAGAATTCGACACACCTGATATTAATCTTTACTTCATAAGAGGTTTTGTACAAAGTTTTAGTAACAAAAAATGACAAAGGGGAATAACTCAAATGACGAATTGGAGACGAAATCGGAATCTTCTTCTTCTAACTCAAAGGCATCCAATGATTCGTTAAATGAATTTGTTTCAAAATTTTTACCAGGCAAGACATATTTGTTATTTTCTTTCCCAAATTCACAAAAAAATCTTCATTTTTTATACACCATTATAGATTACTGCGATATGTACCACTCGGATTTAGAAGACGGGCACCAGAAAACGAAATTGATGTTCGGTAGTGCATTTTCGTGTTTGCTCGATTAAATTCCCTCAAATATAATTTGTTTACATCAACGCATTTTTGTTGGCTAAATCTCTTAAAAATCATTGTTACTATTTAGATGATATGGAACAAGAATTAGGGAGTAACCTTTTGACTTTGCCTGCGATGCCACAACAGAGCTCCGCGACACCAAATGACAACACCTCTAACATCCCTCGAAATGATGAGCAAGTTTTACATCCAAATACGAGCAAAAATTTCACTTATCCTAAGTATGTCACATTTTTGAAAATATGAATATATTAAATCCGCTTAATTGGGGTTAACTTCAAAAAGAATGAGAATAATGCGGCTTTCTATTATCTGCGACGTGTTTTTTTTGGCAGACCCTTTTATTCATGAGATGATAGCATGATTATTTGTAATAAGCTAATTTCGGATGATTGCATCAATTTACAGATTTTAAGTTTATTGCACCCGTGCGATTTTCCTACCTTTTAATAGAGATCGCAGTGTTGTCTCTAACTGGTGACCTCAGTCACTCACTCACTGTCAAATCGACGATTCTGTCTTGACCAACTCTCCAGTCGATTATTATTATTGCCTCAGCTGCAATTTTAGATCCGAAGACAGAAATGAGATTGGAATCGACTACCAGGCAGTTTATGAACAGAATATGAGTTCGACAACTTCATTAGGTATGCTAGTTTGCAAAATTTCGTTTCCATTACTTGATTTAAATGAAAATTTTGATGACACATCTCTTAACCCCCATAGTAAAAATTATTTCCTCATCTAATTTTGGAAAACATTTAGTTTAGAAATGTAGATGCAAGTCTGAATATTTTAGGACATTTCAAGAATGGTTAATTTGTTAGCTTGGCATAGGTTAATGCATTAATTTAGCTATTGAAACTCGATATTAAACGACAGTTAGAAAGGATTCGCAAATTATTCATGCAGATTTGCTTGACGAGAATTCAAACAAAAGTGCTTTGTGTTGCAAAGAGTCATATTTGAACTGGTTGTTTTACTTTGTTTCGTATATAATTGTTCTTAAATTTTTTCAAAAAAACGCCTCCATATGCATGGTTTTTTGATGAGTTTTTTTCTGAGCCATATCGCGATCAATATTCAAATTATATTTGTCAACTTTCATCATAATTTGGTTAAAATCGCATTGGCGTACGTGTATCTTGGATAAAGTTGTTCCGTTTCAAAAGTTACTAAGCTTTAAAAAGTGGAATTTGTTAACCTGAAAACTATCTGATACAAATATGATTTCCTTATGATTTAATATTCAATCTTACATATACCGCTGCAAATAAAACAACTACTATGGATAGGACGTTAAAAGAGCCTGTTATCCACATATTCTTTGTATTTTTAGCTCCCTTGAACAAGTTCAATTCTATTGAAGTCATTGACCTTCCAACTAAACATGGTCCTTTAGATAAAGTTGGTGAGAGCATCGCAAAAATGAGTAAGGAAACCACAAATAATGAAAAGCGCTTCTCGTGTGATGTATGCAAAATAAAATTTAGATATCGATATCAATTGGACGTTCACAAAAGCAGACATAGTGGCGTAAAACCATTCGAATGTGAATCTTGTGGTAAACAATTTTATACACAATCTGAACTGAATTCTCACAAACTGGTTCACACTGATGAAAGACCGCATGAATGCAGAATATGTGGAACAAAATTCAAACGTCAGTCAAATTTATTTCAACATATGCGTACCCATAGTGAAGAAAGGCCCTTCTAATGTGAAATATGCAAGTAAGCTTTCAAGCATACACATCATTTGACTAGACATTTGCGCTTTCTTAGTGAAGAAAGGCCCTTTGGTTGTGAAAATGCAAACAAGCATTCAAAAAAATATAATTTGACTATTCATATGCGTTCCCCATACGGAAGAAAAACCATAAAAATGTAATGAATGCAACAAAGGATTTTTAACTAAATAAAATATGGAAAACCACTTGCTTGTTCATACTGATGAAAAGACCTTACAGATGCAATGTATACGGAATACGTTAAAAGAATCCAATCTACTTTGAGGGACATATTCCTTGCCGAAATCGAAATTTACAATTCAAATGCAATGCATGTGAAATGGGTTTTTCAAATATAGATGATTGAAATTAACACGAATGTGCGCATACTTTTGAAAATCAATAGAACTTCGAAGTGAATGGGCTGAGATATTTTGTAAAGATTTTGTTTTTTTGATAGTGCAACAACACTATTTATGTGATAACCATCCAGAAACAAAGATGGCAGAAGGTAAAGCTTTCGAAATCAAAATTTAAATGCACGCAAATGGATCCGCGGAGATGAACTGTTGCAAATATTTTATGGAAGTAGATTGAGACTTCAGAGTATATTCAATTCGATTTCTTTAATAGGGCCAGACATCCATTTGTTAAAATTATGTTTGAAGCATTTCTGTACAACGGACCATAACGAAACACAAATGAGCCCATAATTTGCAGAAATACATCACATTTGTGCGCTAAGCTTGATAAAAACTTCTGCAATATCAACAGTACTATCTTGAGTCAAGTCAATGTAATCGTATATATTCATAACAAGTTTTAATCATTGTTTGCAATCTGAAAATCCATTTTGATTTTTAAATTTTAATTTTTAATTAATAATAATCAAACAATATTTAATTATGTCTAATTTATAATTTAATCTGACGTCCTAATAATGTCGTCGTTAGTTAGTGTCTTCGTTTTCTTAAAATTGCATTACTTATAATCGGTGTTTGTATTGAAAGGAACAGTTTTTACATGGATATAGGATAGAACCATCAGATAATATTAAAAGAATTCCAACAACTTGGGGTTGATATAGATATTCCATGTCTGATTTTCAACTGATTTTTATCTTAATGAATTTCGTTGAATTAAAACACATGTAAGCCTGCTAATCGTTTATAATGATTAATAATAGAAAGTGATTTAGTAATTCGTTTGGTTATAAATAACTGAGATATTTTATATTAGAGAAGGGTTAATGATGGTGTTCGTAATTAATTTAGCCTTAGAACACAGGCAGACACGAATAAGAATAATATATATATATATATATATATATATATATATATATGAATCGCGTATTAGTGAGGTTTTTTGAACTAGTTCAGTTAACAATAATGCTTGATATGAGGTTGGTTCAATTGGTCTTGGAATGTTTCTTTTGATTGACTTTCAACCAGTAACCATCTAAGATGAAATATATTTTTGATATGTTCTTAGAAATGGCCGAATAATAATAAATCTCATTATTATTATTTCAATTATCTCAATCGAACACTTCTTAATGGTGTGAAATATAAAAGAGATCAAACAACTAATGATGGAATAATTTTTCTAATTCATATTGAAGTATAATTTTAAATTTTGACTAAGTCCTGGTTTTGGTCACAACCCATCATTTCTAGTGTCACCATCGACAGCAGCAAATGCATCACTCTTAAAACATCAACCAAGCTATCATGAAACTCCAAGTAGGTCGATTGGCCTAGATTCACATACATGTTAGAAAACAAACTTCATGTACGTTCGATCAACTGCAACCACCATCCTGACAAACTCTGCAACAATATCACAAATATCATGATCTGATGTGTAAAGAAATGTATTGAAAGTGGAAATTCAGAACCCTATAGATTTTGTATATGTCTCTTTAACATGAATGTATCACATCGATTCTTATGATTGAAATTATTTTGAGAAAAATTATGACTAAATTTTTGCGTTCTGCAAAGTTTGAAAATCCAACCCCCATTCGCATTCAATATTGGCTTATTTATAGCACGTATTCAATCAGTATGGAAACCTATTCACCATTTTTCACATATTTTATTTACTAAAATTCCAATGTCCTCTTTGTTGTTTTCCGACTACAGCTCAATTGATATTTTATTATTGTAACATTCAACAAATATCAAAATTTGATTAAAAACATTTCCATGAATTTAAAAATATAAGATATATGGCGATGCATGTCATGGAATTTACATGTATAATCGGTTAAAACTAGCTAACAACTCCTTAGTTAAATAAATAAAATATTGAAAAATAAATTAAGGTAATTAAATGCACGTAAATGCCAAATACTTGCAAGTTATGAATATAAGTACAGAGGATATATTGAGGAAAGTATTGTAATCAAGCATTGGAAACGATAAAATTACAAACGTGCATACCTAATGAATTTTTCGAATTCATATTCTGTTCATGAACTGGCTGGAAGCGAATTCCAATCTCATTTCTGTCTTAAGATATAAAATTGCAGCTGGGACAATACAAATAATTGGGTGCAGTGTTGGCCAATGAAGAAACGTTAGCTCGTTGGAGACACCTATTTTCCTCTACGAAATCATTTGACTGAGTCAACCTGTTAGCGACAGCACTGCAATCTCTTTTAAATGGAAAATCGTATGTGAGCAAATGGTTTGTAATCGGTGATTGAAAGAAATTAAACAAATTTAGCTTATTACCAGCAAACAATCAATATTCTCGTAGCAACAATATCTGCTAAAAAGAGCTAAAAACCGAAAGCTACAGAAAGCCGCAGCATACTCATTCTATGCAAAATTAATCCCAATTTAACGATTATAAAAATTAGTGACATACCGGAAATAAGTAAAATCTGGGTTCACATTTTAAGGCAAAACTTGTTAGAGGCGTTGTCATTTGCTGTCGCGCAGCTCTGTTGTGGCATTGCGGGCAAAGTCAATAGGTTACTCTCTAACCCCTGATTCATATCATCTAAATAATGGCAATAATTTATTCAGGAGATTAAGCCAACAAAAATGTTGTAATATAAATAAATTGTTTTAATGCAATTTATTCGAGCAAACACGAAACGCACTGTCCGACATCTTTTCCAGTAGCTGGCGCAAGTCTTCTAATCGCGTGGGGTACAGGTCGTAGTATTCTACAATTGTGTCCACGAAATGAGAAATCGGTTTTTATTAAGGCTATAGAGTTGCAACTATGACTTGCCTCTTATAAAATTTAAAATTGATTCTTTAATTGGATAAATGGATGTCGTTGTATTGAAAGAAGAGCTTTCCAGTTTCGCTCCCGATCCGTCAATTGAGTTATTTCTCTCTGCCATTTATTTTTGAAAAAAAACTTTTATAAGCCTGTTTTAAAGTGAACGTAATATCAGATGTGCAAAATGCCGTGAATAAATGAAGTTATTGGCAATTTCCATGATCAGCGTTCATCCAGATTATAATTCATGCGATCGAAGTTCTAAGTTACATTTTTCATAAAAGTATTTGAAATTTTTAATTTTGTTGCATTAGAAATTACTTTTGAATTTATTCTCTATTTACATTTAAATCAAGTTCAACCTGGAATTACACGTGACAATAAAATTTCCTGACGCTTTCTAGAATACTGCAATACTGACTGCGAATCTAGTTGAAACTATGGCGTTATTTTTTGGGTGAATCTCCTGCGGATTATTAAAGGTCATGTTTAATTCCCCTGTTTGCAAAAAAATTAGCATATTGCTCGGTTTAATTTATTGTCATTTGCTCTAGCAAGCACAAATCGTTCCGTGTGATCTATTTTGTCATTTGGTGTTGATGCGGCTTTTCTACAATTTGAACTATCTTTGAAATATGGCATTCTACGAGAAAAGAATCGAAGTTACGCTACTTATGATAAAAGACATTATATATTTTTTTCACTGACTAATGTGTTCAGTAGATGGGATAAATTATAGCCTTGAATAAATAAGTTAAGAAAGACACGTTTATTATCGTTGCCTACCAGATTTGTCAATTGTGACTGTAAATTTGAAAAATGACAGCTGCATAAATTGCATTCTCGAAACAGATAAACGTGTCTGCTTCTGAATAAGCCCAGAGCACTGACCATGGAATGCAAGCATATTTTAAGCAGAATGTTCCAATCTAACATACCCCATAGAGTGTCTCTTTTCTGAGTCTTGTTAACCATATTTTTCTCAAATATAACTTTTTTTCTTTTATTGGCAACTTACACAATTATATGCGATCATGAGTTTCAGGAAAGGATGCAATTTTGAGAAGAGATATATAAAACTAAGCGATTTTGACGTATGGAAGACAGGAAATTTAATTCTAATTCAAGACTTTCTGTGATATTGCATACTCGCAAATGCAGATCTAAATTCAAGATATTGATTTAAATCTGTGTTACCTCTGCTTACATTTGAAGCATCGATAATTTAAATAGAATTATTTGCTAAGTTTACAAACAATGAAAAAAGGATTTCTTAGATTATTTTCAGATTTTGCAAGTGAGTATATTTCTTGTGTTATTCTTAATAGCTTTCCACTCAATACGTGTGGTTGAAAAACCTATATTTTTCATATTGTATTTTTAAAATGTCATCATTTATTTTGTAAGCCTAGGATATGTGATGCAAAGATGAATAGTAGATTTTTTCCTAATCCAATATACTTTCGAAAAATGTTCTTTCTGTCATCTTTTGAAAAAACATTTACCAGATTGAAATCAAGAAAACGCAAATTGAGATGTGTGGAATTGTACGAATAAAAGAAGTCATTTCCACTTTGAATGATTTGCACTTTACTTGATTGTTTCAAATTGTATTGCTCGATATTTTGTTTGTTTCGTCTTTAGAATTTATGCTTTTCCTGATTACGTTGTCTACCCTTAAAATGGAATTGAATGTCATAGCTTAATTGATGAAAATATTTTTAAATTGTGCTAAAATACTTATAGAATAACAAAGAAACAAGTAGGAAGAACTCTCTATTTATTCTTAAATTTTAAATTTTATGTGGAAATTTATTTGATAAAAATATTCTTAATCTGCGCTAAACTACTCATCCAATTATCGAAATCTAGTAGGAAAAAACATCTAACACCAATTTCACAAATGAATGGTTTCTCTCGA